TACGAGGGTCGTTTGAAAAGTCCGTGCAAAAATAAAAACTACTTAATTTTTTGGGGTAAACTTTTTTTATTTTTCAACATAGTCACCTTTTAGGCTTATACACTTCGTCCAACGCTGCTCTAATTTGTTGATCCCTTCCGAATAATAGGATTTGTCCAAGTCTGAAAATAGCCATTTGTTTCTGCAATCACCTCCTCGTTTGCATAAAATCTTTTTCCCGCCAGCCATTTCTTCATATTGGGGAACAAATAGTAGTCCGAGGGAGCCAAGTCTGGAGAATAGGGGGGATGTGAAACGAGTTGGAACCCTAATTCCATTAATTTTGCGACCACAACTGCTGAGGTGTGAGCTGGTGCGTTTTTGAAAATCACTCGACTTCCTCGATTCAAATGAATGCCAAACACAAACAAATAGACCGATCTGGCTAAAACGTGGTGTGTGTTCTTCCAAGAGATGCTACTAACTAAATCTAACCTTGATACGCGCCAGTAGTGCCATTTCTCTGACTTTGCACGGACTTTTCAAACGACCCTCGTATAGTTGTAAATATATAGTTGTAAATATTAAAAACAAATAAGTTTTTTTAATGTTATTTTCATTCTTATTCTTTTAGCATATACGCGATGAATGAAATAAGAGTACAAGTGGAAGAAGGAAAATTGAAGGGCGTTGTCGTAAATGGTTGTAATAATGTTAGATACCTTGCTTTTCGCGGAATACCATATGCCAAACCTCCAGTCGGCGAACTCAGATTTAAGGCAAGTATAGTACTTTGTTATTATATCAGCGCACAATATAATTAATTTTAACAACAACAACAAAAATAAACTTTAACTGATTTTCCTTAGAATAAGAATTAAAAAGAAATGAAAAAAAGGAATCTCAATTTTCTCCAAATATATCTTTTAAAACTATTTCTTTCAAAAGTAAATATCGTGTTAAATATAATTTATATATTTAGGATCCAGTACCAGCGGAACCATGGTGTGGTGAGAGAGATGCCACAAAATACGGAAATATAGCTGTTCAAATAGATCGTTTCACAAACAAAGTTGTGGGCGATGAAGATTGCCTCTATTTAAATGTGTACACCATGAAAATCGAACCCCCGAGAAAATCCGCGGTAATGGTATGGATACACGGTGGTGGCTATTTTTTAGGTTCCGGTAATCCAGACTGGTATGGTCCCGATTATATTATAAAAAAAGATGTAGTATTGGTTAGTCTAAATTATAGATTAGCCTCTTTAGGTACGTTATTCATTATTTTGATGTATATTTCTTGTATGTGACTTGTGTTTCTTTCATATTTCTTCAAAGTAAACATACTACATTTAGTTAGACTTATATTTTTTATTTTAAATAATCCATTGGCATGTAATTACGTTATTAGTTTATGATCAAATACTAATACAGAAAGTAAAAATAGTTAATAAATGAATATATTTATTTATTACCAAGAATTAAGTAAGAATGGATATTCCTTTTTATTTATTAGTATGTGCATACTTCTAAAATCGAAATGCTTCTAAAAGCAAAAGATTATATTCACAGAAAATAGATAATTATTAATAATAGATGATTTGTTGTGTATTCATATTACGATCTTAAAAAGTACTGTACATAATTATTAATTATAAAATTTTATTAACTCTAAAACAAATACTTTTCTTTTATTTATTTTATAATGATTTACTTTTAACTTGAATATATCAACCTTACAAGAGAAATAATTAATATGCTTTCAGGTTTTCTAAACCTCAACGACACAGTTATAACAGGTAATCAAGCTGTGAAGGATGCGATCATGGCATTAAAATGGATTAAAAAAAATATAAAAGCCTTCGGTGGAGATCCAGAAAAAATCACTATCTTTGGCGAAAGTGCTGGTGCATCCATGGTACATGCTCTAGCTCTATCTCCGTTAGCTAAAGGTATATCTTTAAGGAAAGCATTTAAATACTGACGCAAACAAAAACATCAAACAATCAATAATTCAAAAAAATCGATAAATTCTAAGATTATGTATTATACAATAAAAAGAAAGGAAAGCAAGTTTTTTACGGTAACGAATCTATGAATCAATTCTATTACGATTATGTCTTGTAGGTTTATTCCAAAAAATAATCGCACAAAGCGGTGTCCTCTTAAATCCTTGGGCCTTTAATGAAAGGATGGACTCAGGTTTTAGGCTTGCCAAAAAACTCGGAAAGGAAACATCAGATCCGAAAGTCGCATACGAGTTTTTAAAAACGGTTGATGCAAAAACACTTATTGAAAATTCATTATCGGCAATTGCTACTGAAGTAAATATCTCAATATTTTATTATAATATAGATTATATTTATTTCATATTCGTATTTTGTTAGAAAAGCCGTAATATTCGATATCTTTTTATGCACTTGGTATATATTTTTTCTTTTTTAAAAAAAGTTTTTTTAAGAATTTTAACATATGAATAACATATTTTCCATTTATAATATCATCAGGAGAAATTGAGTGTTACTCTATTCTGGACGATCACTCTGGACAACAAGTCATCAAATCCTGTTTTTCCTGAACATCCAAAGGAATATATAAGGCGCGGGATTCAAATACCCTTCCTTTTAGGATTTAATCGTGACGAAGGAATATTTCTTATACGTAGCAACTTTCTCGAAAGTAATAAAGAAGTATTACATTTTATCGCGTGCGCGCACGCTGTCACTATATAATATATATCTTTAATTGTTCCGCTTTTATTTCTTTTACACGAGTTTTTTTTACAATGTAGCCTTTTAAAAATAATACAATTTTGACATTTAACAAATATGCCATCAACATTTATAAAAAAATTTTCATAATATTTTTAATGTTTTTATAATATTAAAAAATAAATTTTTTTAATGCAATTTTTAAATACACATATAAAAATTATAATTACTAAATAATTCAATAAATCCCAAAACAGATATATTGTTTCAATATATTAAATAATTACGTTGTTCTAATATAGCTTTATCATAGATTGTGTATGTTCACCAACATTTAAATTTACTAAATAAAATATATAAATATGCATATTATTTATTTTCATTTAACAGTAACATATATGTTTTGTACATATCTTAATTGGCATATTTTTATATTAAAATAAAAATTTTAATGTTATTTTTGAGATAGATATTTTTCATGAACTTATATATATGAAGTCAATTATTTCTCTTAGCAAAAATGCCCATGAAATATTATTCGTTCGGTATGCAATATCTCAAAAGTGAGCAATATAATCATGTTTTTAAAATTGTTTCAGATATGAGCGACAAAGATTTACAGAAAGTAAATGATGATTTTAAAAGGGCAATATTACCAAATGTATTATCCATGTTACCTAAAATAGGAATTACTGTCGAGGAATTACGATACCACTATTTTGAAAATAAAGAAATATCAGAGAAAACTTTAATGAATTATTCATATTACAAAGGAGATGAATTTTTCGTACGCGGCGTAAGAGATGTAGTTGAATTGCAAAAATCTTCTGGTCATTTCAAATCGACGTATTTATATCATTTCGATTATGAGAGCGAAACTTCCCTTATGAGAACGGTATTAAACATCGGACTTCCAGGTATATTGTCGCTAACTAATTAATACAACCACATAATATTTCTTACGTCAAAAAGCACAAATACATTTTACCAACTAACGATGCGATTACTTCTGAAATTGTGTGCCCAATCATATTACATTCAACTCTATTATTATAATAATTGTACATAAAAGTAATAATAAAAATATCATGTAGTAAAAAAATTAATATTAAAAAAAATTAACATATAAAAATATTTAGAAAACTTATAAGAATTTAGAGGAAATGTAAATTTGAAAATGATGAATCTACATTTTTAAGAATAATTTACAAATGTAATAATATTTTGTAGGAGTGAGCCATACAGAGGATTTAGGTTATCTGTTTTTCCCAGAAATTGTAAAATCATCTAACTTGACGTGTCCCAAACCTGGTTCAAATGATTACAAAATGGTAAATGATTTTGTGCAAATGTGGACGGATTTTGCTAAAACAGGGTACAAGAATTTTTTTCCTTATTTTACACAAATTCTACAAACGTATATTAATTCTAATTGCAAACACATATTAATTCCTATAAACACATATTAATTCAAACCGATTTTTAGAAATCCAACGCCTACTACAAATTTATGGTTACCACAAACTGGTCCGCAAAACAAAGATTACAATTATCTAAATATTGATTTAAATCCACAAATGAAAATCTTCCGTTACGGAAAGGAACGTTGGGATTGGGAAAGTATTTAAAAAATGTTTTAATGTTATCTGATGTAATCTTATCTGTTAAAATTTAATTGAAAAATATATATTTACAATAAATATTCCTTAGATTTTTAAAAATTTTTTTTTGTTAAAACTGCTTTTCCATAAAGATGGGAGTTTTTCATAATAAAATTATGAAAAAAATTATTATATTCATGTTTTAATATTTTTTTTTTATCTCAGTATTGTAAAGTGCGTATACTAAACTTATTTCCTTTATAAATGTATTTTTAAAAATATATTATATAAAAATAATATAATTTATAGAGTAGAGACGTCTCTCAATCAAAAGCATCAATACATACGTAAAAATATATTTACAAATAAATCATTAGAAATTAATAAAAATTTATTAGTACACGAGATTTTTTATCGTACTTATTTCGTAAGTTATTATATGCAGAGTATGTATGTGTATCTTATTCTTCAATGAAAACAGCAATATATCTTGTAAATTTGACATCATATAAAATATTTTAGACAAAATTATATTGTTTGAAGAGAGACACATAATGCTAAAATCAATTTTCAAAAACATTGATGTTTTTAAGATTATATGAAAATCATCATTTTTTAATTTAGAATTATATGATTCTTTTAGTAATTCTATATATGAAAGTATTAAAGCAGAGTTATCAAAAAGTCAATAGTTTACGAGATATCTTACCCTTTATTCTGGCATATTTTGACATAATATATAAAATATCTCATAAACTATATATTTTTTTATATACCTTAATAATTTTAGGCATAGAATAATAGGATAAATCAATTATTGATATAAAGACAGTTGCATGTTGCAAATTGCATAATTTTTTTTGAAAAGCAACTATGTACACGTTTTCTTTACATCAATTGATTTATCTCATTAGTCTATGCATAAAAGTATTAACCATCCGTCGGTAACGTGGAATTTTAACTCTAATTCCATCAGCTGTAAGGATCTTCAAGCAACAGAGCAAAAATTTTTAATTACGTGAATGTAAAGGAAAGCGAGCTTATTATTAAAATGCAAATGTTTTAATTATAGAGAATATGATATTGACAATTTAGAATAGATAACGATTTGATGTAAGTTGATTGGATAGGAATACTAATGATATGATCCGATAAAAACGATAGGCTCGAAATGTTTATTTTTAATTTTAATTGTTTTAAGTTTAATTGTTTTATTTCGTAGATACGTTCAGCGTAAATAAAGCTGATAAGTTCATTATCATTGTTACTATTTATATTAAAGCCTATTGTTTATTTCACGGTAATAGAGTAAATTCTTTTAGTGTTCCTGATTATATAAAAATTTGAAAAAATTGATATACTTGTAAAAGCTTTAACAACAAATTTTTATTATACATGTCGGATTGTATTTTAATTATTTTACAGTTTAAAATTTATCTACCAGAATTCACAATCAAAATATCGATGATGCCTTTAAAGAACTCATGGCCGGAGAATTAAGGTAGTTGCCAAAAAATAAATATTTTACGACGTACTTCGTACATCATGCTAAAATGTGTCAGAATAAAGTATAAAATTTCTCGAAAAACTATTGATTTTTCGATAACTTTACTTTCATACTTTTATATATAGAATAATTAGAAACATATTTATGTAAAAATATCATATAATTCCATTTTTTTTAAATGGCGATAACCTTCATAACGATAATCTTCGTATGATTATAAAAAATCAATTTTTTCAAAAATTGATTTTAAATTTTATCCTCCTTTAGATTACACAATTTTTGTTTAAAAATTGTTTTGTTTTTTTATACGACGTCAAATTTAGGAGATATAGTGCTGTTAAAATGCAACATCCTGTATATATAATTATTGTCATTTTATTACTTTTTATTACTTATTATTTGCAATTTTTTAACATGAAAAATATCACTTGTCATGCAACTTTTGCTACATTAAGGAAGAGTTATCGGTGACAACGGTATCATAAAAACACGGAATCAGCAACACTTCTTTATTCAATCCCCACTTTTTTCTCGACGACAGTCAGTCGAGTTATTGCATAACACTCCAACATTCAGTTCCACGAGTATATATGTGGTTGCATAATCTTGACATACGTAGTCGTATAACGTAGACCAGCAGGTTCTCTCTCTCGTTAACGTTACTCTCTTGCTATTCTTCCACTATATCCATCATGGACAATAATCGAGTAGACGTACATGTGCATGAGGGAAGATTAATCGGTATCGTTGAGGAAGCTGTCCATGGCGGTCATTACGTCGCGTTCCGAGGAATACCGTACGCGAAACCGCCAGTTGGCGAACTAAGATTCAAGGTGAATAACATTCCGTTACTATAGCTGCGTTCAACATAACCGTTCAATTTTAATCTTGAGATAACTGTACTGTTAAATCTGTAGTGTTAAATTTAATCTAATGTGAATCGGCGCTACTCCTACTAAATATGTCATTATTTTTTACCAAAACAATAGTTAAATTTGACACTATATAGTGTCAAATTGACACTGTATAGTGTCAACTATAACCATTGTTTTAGTCTAAAATAACGATATGATTGAGTAGGAGCAGTAGCGACTCACGTTAAGTTAAAATTGACACTATAGATTTAACAGTGACAGAAAGTTCATTTCTATTTATTTTTGTCTTATTTTTAATTTTACCGGAAAGACACAAAGTGTCAATTGAAGAAGTTATAATTGAATGTTGATATAAAAAAAGAGTTATCGTTTTTTTTTTATTGTTATATCTCAGATATTATTTGACGTTTAATTAAATTGGCAGATTGTATGAGTTATTTTTAGCGCTTTAAATTTTGCGTAAACACAACATTTAGAGAGTGATTTATGGACAAATGTAAATATAAAATTAAATATAAAATTTAAGTGTACTGCAAAAAGTCAAAAATTAATATTGATATAATCAGCATTGATTCCCTCGTAATTATTATTAGATAATTTACTTATGGTATTAGTAATATAAGTTATATATATATATGTACACATAAAAAACATTTTAGAGAATAAAAAGAAATATACCTATCCGCTCGAAAATAAAAAGAAATTTTCAAATTTTTCTCATGCTTTACTGTTTTTATAACTAAGTGATGTCTTAAAGTTGTAAACAATTTTTATTGACATATTAATAATTAGTAATTTGTGAAAATTAAGAAAAATTAAAATTTTGATTAAAAAAATAATTAATGCGAATCGACTCTTCACATATTAATATTCAATTATGCACGGAGAGAACTTTTTCTTAGAATTTACTTTGAAAATATGACAGTCATGGGACAACATTGTATTTCGAAGAATTTTTTTTTTTTAATGTAAATCTCTCTCATTTATTAATAAAACTGCAATAAGGTATAAAATAAGTTTGATCAATTTTACTGAAGTGCATGGTAAAAATCTTTAAAATATTGTATTATACCACAACTACCATATTTTCAGGGTAAATTAAAAAAAAAAATTCTCTCCGTGTGGCGACAAATTTCTAGTATGATTCGAATAGGTACGATTTATTTCTAATATAAATTAATCTTTCTATTATAAGATTCGTATAATTAAAGCATACAAAAATGTAAAAGTAGAACTGAAGTAGTAAATGAACCAATTTATTAACCAGGATTTTGTTTAGGGAAAGGAGCCAAATTAGAGTTGAGACTTTTAAACCTGGGAGAGGGGAAAAAATCGAGTGGCATGAACTATTGGACTTGTTTTGTTTTATATTATCATGTTTTATTTTTTTAATTAGTTACTGGCAGATAAATCACACAGATATATTTAATTTATTAATTCAATTTATTTTTCTATTAAAATTGTAAATTGATTCTTTTAACTGAAAAATTTAAATTTATAAAAGTAGTCTTGAATTCTCAGAAAACTTTTCTATACTTATTTCCTCCAATTCTTTCTTCTTTTCTAAAATTAATTTCTTGTAAATACTCATTAAGTATAGTCCGTAAATGTGTATTTTTGTTCTTATTTAAAATTTAAGAGGGCAGCTTTTCCCCCTCTTAACTACATTTATGGATCGATCAGTCACAGTCGAGCGTTCTTTTCAGGGGTTGACCTATTTTTGAGAATGCTCAATTGTAACTAGTTGAGTCATTTATTGCATAAGTTCTACTGCTTAGGTTTTTGCAAAGATCTAAGGATGCACACAATATACGAGAAAAAAACTATGTGAATGTCGCTTGAAATTTTCGTAAATAATTCGAATATACGAATTCAAGAAACGCGAAAATTTTGTTACCAATTTTATTGTATTGCTGATTAGTTATTATTGGCAAAAATTACATAATTTACATAATTCAAGGATTTTATTTATACGTTTATGAACTTGCACTCTTTGCATTAATCATCAACTTCTTGAGTTTACGACGTATAGTACGCACTTATAAATAAAAAGAGTAATATTCATAATTAAAAAATCTCCCAAAAAATCTGAAGAATTGATACGCGTATCAATCGCTTAATATCCAAAATTTGATAATTCTCTCGATCCACTATAAGGCAAATTACACAATGTAGGACAAGTTGATCTACATTGCATGTGTGTTCTTGTTAAAAAAAATATATCATGTCAGATTAATTCTTATAAGTAAAAGCTATGTTTATCTATACAGGATCCACTACCACCAGAAAGATGGTTCGGCGACAGAGATGCCTCAAAACATGGAAATATCGCTGTTCAAGTTGATTTATTAACACGTGAAATAGTAGGCGACGAAGATTGTCTCTACCTAAATGTATATACTATAGACATCGTGAAAAAACGCCCAGTTATGGTATGGATACATGGTGGCGGTTTTGGTTCGGGTTCTGGTAATGCTGCCTGGTATGGTCCTGATTATATTGTTCAGAAGGACGTGATACTCGTTACGCTAAATTACAGACTAGGGGCTCTTGGTACGTTGCATACTAACTGGATACAAAATTGTGCAAGATTTGCATCTCTCAGTTTTTTCATAATATTTTTAAACTTTAAACCTCCTTTTTCAAAAAATTTATGTTGCATGTATGCTGTTTTTTTAAAATA